GGGGAGGAAAATCCTCAAGAAGATTCCTGGCAGTGTGAGTACAGAAGAAGCAGGAAAGGCCATGGTGCTCCCAGCAGTCTGAGTGGACAGTAGCCTGTGCTTCCTGTCCTGGGGACACAGCGCGACCCCACACTTGTGAGAGTCACACATGTCTAGGACACTTGGTCAGAGATACGGTTGCAGAAGAAACTGCTTCTGCCTCATTTCTTGGTTTGGAGATTACTTCATGTGCCCTTCAAAAGGAACCTGTAAATATGAATGAATGGAGGTATTTTCTAGAGAAGAGACCGTGTGTTCAGTACCAACAAGTAACTCGTGGATGGGCATAACTCTGTTGGGGTCTTTTCTGTGCAAAAAACCTCAAGTCAGTGTTTTATTCTGCCTTTGAAAATGCTTCCAAGAGTAGAACTTGCACTCACACAAGTCAAGACTACAGAGAAGGCTTTGTAGAAATGTCACTTATGTATACCCGCTATTTACATGTTTCCTCTTTTGGAAAAACGAGATACTAACAATAACAGCAAAATTAAGACACTCTGGCCTGGTGCCAGCAGATGGCTTTTCTATAGACAAACTAGGTTAGTGTGGAAGATAGAGGTTAAAATAAACTATGATGTTTTATTTATCTTCCCAATCTGGTTGGTTGGCAGCTAGAATTTTTTAGGGTCTTGTTTAATGACCTTCCCCCTTATTTTCATTATTATATTTAATGATAAGGAGCTCTGGTGGCACAGTGGATAAGGGATTTGACTGCTAACCAGAAGGTTGGTAGTTCAAACCCACCAGCTGTTCCGTGGAAGGAAGATGAAGCAGTCTACTTCCGTAAAGATTTATAGCCTTCGAAACCCAGTTGGGGTCACTATGCGTGGGAATTGACTCTATGGCAGTGGTTTTTTTTGTGTGTCCTTTTTTTAAAATAATAATAGGGCAGCATTTAGTTCACAAGCTTCTCTGTTTCTCAGGCTGCCTGAAGAAGTAGTCACCATAAATTATCTGCTGTCTAATTGGTACAAGGCCCACTGACTCATCTGATAACTTGTTTTGTTAATTTCTGTAATGATATTTTTTCACATGGGTGGTGGGAGAGCTTGAACCTTTAGCCACAGTTATTTCAGGACTTCTGATCTTCTACCCTGCTGGATATAGATTGGGGAGGGGCATTGAATTTTTATACTATAGTTACTTGCATTCCCACATAAGTCGAGTATTACGAAAACATTCCTTCAAAACTATCTGCTTCAAAAATATACCAGAACTGCGTAGACAAAGCCATTGCTAGAAATGTCCTTCCGGTATCAAATCTGGGTAACATGTTACCATAACCACTTCTTCCTGTGGACTCAGCTCACCTCTATAGCATAAGCTGTTCTTGGCATCTTAAAACACCAGTTTCTACTCAGGTACTCATTTCCTTGTTAGTGATTCACCTTTCTGATATTTTAAAAACCAGTTGGCCCCCAGAGGGAGAAATTTCACTTAATTTCTGGTATCTGAATAACTTTCAGTGTTTCAGTGGTTTTCCCCATTTGCTTTTACCTGTGTTTGTCATCTCAGATGGTCTTTAAACCCAGCTACTTTCCTTCCATTCCAGAAGTTTCCATCCCTTCCAATTCTACTTCATCCTCCACTGCCCTAGTTCCTGGCTCTTTCCTCTTTATGTCATCTTTTCACTTGCTTTGGAAGCTTAAAGGATTTCACAAGATCTAATTTGAGGTTCCTGTGCTGGAGCCAATTACCTTGCCAAGAAGAGTAGAAAATGGGCTCAACTCCTATTTCATTCCACCAACTCTTTTGAGTCTCATCATCAGCTGATGGATGATGCCTTGTGGGTTGCATAGCACTGGAACTTTCTAGAGTAATGGCTCTACTGTCAGGGTTTTTCTGGGCTCATTCTCCACTGACTGAATTATGATCTATGCCTAACAGCCCCAGTACAACTATTTTGGAGAATGGCTATTACCCTAGAGTAATATAGCACATATTGAGACATAGTTTTACTCCCCAGTAGGTAGGAACTCACCCGAACAATAAACTTTGATAATAAAGACAATAGGCTATGGTGGTTTTATTATTTACTTGCCAACATTGTCACTTTTCAAGCTATTGTCTACATCTGTTCTCCATCTAGTTTGGTATAATAAACACTTGAATCAAAAGTCTGTCCATGGGATGGCAGTGAAAGTAATGTTGGTGTCTTTGAAGACAAAGGGAAGAAAAATGATGTATGTGGTTTTAAACTGGCTTAAAAAGGGGGAGGGTTGCATAAATTGTTCTTTCCTAAAGAATGTTGTGGGCGCTCTCAGGGATGATCCATGGTACAGTCACATGAAGGAAATCCATAAGGTGGCATTCATTAAAAATGAGTGAAAACATGCTAACAAGTTGATGGATAGAGGGTATCCTGTTTTTGTAAATTCCTTTAAAAAGGAAAGCATGATGAATTTATATGCCCTTTTATTGTGTGCTCATTCAGTGAAATTAGTCCTGACAATATATCATGCCTGTACCAATTACCAAGGAGCCCCCGTGGTGGAATGGTTAAGTGCTTAGCTGTTAACTGAAAGGTCAGCATTAGAACCCACCAGCAGCTCTGTGGGAGAAAAAACCCTGATGATTTCCTCACATAAATGGAAAATCGATTTGCTCTAAACTTGCACTCAAATCACAATAAAGTTCTTTTTTAAAAAAGATTACAGCATAGGAAACCCTATAGGGGCAATTCTACTCTGTCCTGTAGGGTCACTATGAGTTGGAATCAAGGGCACACAACAGCAGTAACACCAGTTGCTGTGGAGTTGACTCTGAATCATAACAACCCCATGTGTGTCTGAGTAGAAGTGTGCTCCACACGGATTTCAATGGCTGATTTTTTTGGAAGTAGATCGCTAGCCCTTCTGGGTGGACTCCAGCTTCCAACTGTTCGGTTCATGGTTTGCACCACCCAGGGACTCCACCATGCCCATGTTGTTAGGTGCCATCCAGTCAGCTCCAACTCAGACCCTGTGTATAACAGAACAAAACATTGCCTGGTACTGTGCCAGCCTCACGATCCTTGCTCTACTTGAGCCCACCATTGCAGCCACTGTGTCAATCCATCTCATTGAATGCCTTCCCTTTTTCTTGGACCCTCCACTTCACCAAGCATATCTTCCAGGGAATGGTCAATTCTTACAACATGACCAAAGTAGGTGAGACGAAGTTTGGCCACTCTCACCTCCAAGGAGCATTCTGGCTGTGCTGCTTCCAGGACAAGCCCACAGATTGAGTTAACTAAGCAGTAGTCTACTCTCTAGGAGATTTCTTCTTTCTTTTTTTAACCCATCAATTAAATGCTGAACTAATTTGTTAGCCACACCCTGTAAGTCTAACACCTGAAAGTTTCCTTACCCTAACTTCATATCCTAGAAGCATTTTGGTATGAGTCGAAGACAGGATGGGACACAGGCAGTTATCTGTGGTCAGAATAATCATTTAGAGGAAACTTGTGAAGTCTGATCAGGAAAATCCTGGTCACTTCAGGCAAGGGGGATAAAAAGAGGGGTCAGTGCTTTGTTGCTCACAGCAATAGGTGATTACGGTATTACTAAGCATGTTCCCTGGGACGGCCCTTGTGCTTGGTCAGGTAAAGCCTTAAACCTGCTTCTGCAGAACCTTGTAACTAAAAGGTAGTTACTGCAATTCCTAATAGGAAAAATAAGACTAAATTTGAAATTGTCTAGTTTCTAACTACTTTTTTCTTATTGAAATAATTTTTTTCTATACAATTCTTGATGATAAATACACAGCATTTCTTAGGAACCTACTATAGAAGAGATTGCACTTAGGATCCCAGTTGGCAATGGTGCTACAGTTGAAGGCAGTCTTTGGTGAGCAGGAGAGAGTTCAAGTCCATCAGGGACTCTTGAAAATTCTGATCTTTTCTACCTTCTTGCCCTGCCCTCAACCCCATCTCCCCATTTTAGGAAATTTCCTGAGGAAAACTGGCAGAGAAAGCAGATCTTGTAAGTAGTTTAGAGCATAAGCCTGAACTGCATGAGGCAAAAGGAATTCTCTGACATTCTATGATATTCCCAAGGCTACTGAGTAGGGTAGGGGACTCATGGGATTTAGGCAGGTCCTAGAGAGTAGCAAGGATTTTGAGTTGGTGTGTATTATACAGACTTCAAGAGAGGCAGCACATGATTGAGGCTTCTGGCTGATTTCATCATATGTAAGTGTGCGCCGTGTTCTTCCTGGACAGCATTCAGGCACAGGTGTTCAGAATCAAAATTATCAGTTGGATATTGGTTTGAATTCTTCCAAACCTTAAACACTGAGTATTATCTTACCTAAAACTCTAAAAAGCTTTTCAGACTTGTACCAAGAACTAAGCTGTTTAGTTTTTCTCTGAATCTAAACATCATGAAAAGAAGAAATGGCACGCCTTAATCGGAACCTTCTTTTTAATCTCTCTCAAAAAAATTTTAGTCTTTGGAAAAGTCTGTCAAGATCTCATAAAGTAGGGCTCTTTATATTTCTGTAGAAGGCAGTATTCCTTATATATTTAAGAAATAAAAAACAAACATAACCTTGTTTTCTCCCAAAAGGTTTACTTGTCACATTTCAAGTATAAAATCAAATTCACAGATCCAGGTATTTTAACCATATATACATATTTATACACACATTATTTAGATCTACACAAATCCATATGTATATTCTAATTTATCCATCAACACTGTATCTTCAGTACAGAGCAACATACTTCTTCAAAAACAGGTATCAGTAACACTGAAATGTCAATTATTTTCACTTTATGACTTCAAAGGGTAGAAACAGATGGGAATTACCAAGCACAAATCCAGTTTGATAGTATACCTTCTTGAAACATTCTGTAGGATTATACCACAACATAAAACAAAAATCCTTACAGCTGGACCATTAAGCAACATCATGATAAAAGGAGAAAAGATTGAAGTTGTCAATGATTTCATTTTACTTGGATTCACAACTAACATCCATGGAAATGGCAGTCAGGAATTCAAATGACTTACTGCACTGGGCCAATCTGCAAAAGACCTCTTTAAAGTCTTGAAGAGCAAAGATGTCACTTTGAGGACTAAGTTGCACCTGACCATGCTATTTTCAATCGCCTTACATGCATATAAGAGCTGGACAATGAGTAAGGAAGACTGAAGGAGAACTGATACATTTGAATTATGGTCTGGGCAAAGAATAAATCTACCTTGGAAAATACAGCCAGAATGCTCCTTAGAAGAGAGAATGGTGAGACTTCATCTTATGTACTTTGGACATGTATTGGGAGGAACCAGTCCCTGGAAAAGGAAGGACATCATCCTTCGTAGGTCAGCAAAAAAAAAAAAAAAGACCCTCAACAAGATGGATTTACACAATGGGCTCAAACATAGCAACAGTTGTGACAACGGTACAGGACCAGGCAGTGTTTCATTCTGTTGTACATCGGGTTGCTATGAGCTGACTCAGTGACACCTAACAATACAGGAGTAATTGATAAATGAATCTGCTAGTCAAAGTTTTCTTAACTCTGTGAAACTGAAAGAAACGAGTTAAAGGAGGACATGTTATAAGATTGATTAATTGCATAAGATTTTTGTTTAATTTTGTTTTTTAATGCAAAGAAATGACTTTGTCCATTAACAGCATTGCCAAGTCATATTTTCTATGGAGTTAAGATGCATTTTGGGGGACATCTGTTAAAAATTAAAGTCATTAAAGGGGGCATAGGACTGAAAAAATGGCATGGCAGGTGCATCTGACCTCTAACTTCACAAGGGGAAAGAGGAAGAATCAAGATCGACAACTCAGGCTTATTTCAATGAGGCAGAGGCCAGACATACCTCCTCTCTCCAACCTTTTTACCAGTTCTGATACCAGCTGCCCCGCCCGTGACACTCTAGTTCTCTGCTGGGTTCAGTAATTCATTGCAGTGGCCACACAGATCTCACAGACAATATTCATGATTATTGAATTATTAGGGAAGTGGCAGGTTACAATTCAGAATCAGGAAAGACTCAGGATATAGGTCTTCCATCAGGACAGTCTCTTAGCAGTGCCCACAGGCAGACCTCTTTCTAGCCCTTGGCATCTTGCGCCAGGTCTGCTTCAGCCCTGCTCAGGCAAGTATTTCAAAGCATTTTAGCTCTGCCTGGAGGAACCCAACTCTGCCCAAAGGCGCTCAGCTTTCTCACTCCGTGGGCCAGGAAGCCCACTTTACCATCTCCTGGGTCAGCTGCCTCTGCTGCTTCTCACCATGTCTGGTGTTACAGTTCTGTCTCCTGGGTCTATGAAGTTCATTAGCACAGGGACCCTGGATTCAAAGGACATGCTCTGCTCCCGTCTCTTCTTGGTGGTAGTCAGGTCCCCTCTTTCCATCTCTTGGATGGCTCATTTTAAGTGTAGCAGGATGGCAAAACTGACCAATCCCCTTGTTAGGGTTCCATATACCTTATTTGCATGGTTCCACCCCTACAAGAGTGCCATGCACCTTATTTTCATTATTAGCAATCTCCCAATCCCCTTGTTAGGCTACAAGCACCTCTACTTCCGTAGTGATACTGTCTTGGAAACCCAAGGAGGGGTCGCTATGAGTCAGGTTTGACTTGACAGCAAATAACGTCTAGTCATTTGGTGGGAGTTACAAAGGCTATGGCTGTAAGAGCCATATTAAATAATTCATTGCATCACAGGCCACCCCCTGGGTCTTCTTGCCATTGATCCTTTTATATTTGAAAGACAAATTTCTCCCAATATTTTACCAGTCCAAAATAATCATTAACAACTAGTCCTTCAGTAAGGCAGAGTCTTCAAAGAACTCTGATGGTGCAGTGGTTAAGGCATTTGGCTGTTAGCCAGAAGGCTGGTGGTTCAAACCCACCAGCTGCTCCACTGGAGGAAGATAAAGCAATCTACTTTCGTAAGGATTTACAGCTTTGGAAACCCTATGGGTTGTTAGGAGTCAGAATCAACTCGATGGCAGTGGGTTAAGATAGAGTCCTCAGGGTGAGGTTATTTAGGTCTGCTATAGGTATCTCTACAGGTCAGGTTCTACAAAAGTTATTGTCTTCACCCTTTCTGGCCTCTGATAAAATTTAATTGAGACTATTCCTTTGCTCTGAGTCTCACAAGGCATCAACATAACAATCTTTAAGGAACTTTGTAAGTCACTGTACTCCAGTTCAGCAGTGGCTCTCCCTTACTCCAGTCTGTCACAGTTACAGCTTCTACAATTACAGTTTTTACAATCACAATGAAACCTGTTAACAATCATTACTGGGTCACATAACTGTATCAGCATCTTCCCCCACCCTCACTTCCCCAGAACCTATCAGGAAAAGAGGAAACTATTTAGTGGGGAGTCTTTGTACCCCTCACTTTGAGACTAAGCACACCCATCAAGGTTGTATGTAAGCCAGTATTTTGGTTACCTAGTGCCACTCTGACAGAAATATACCACAAATGGGATGGCTGAACAAACTGGAGTTTATTCTCGTACAGTTTTGGAGGCTTTAAGTCTGAGTTCAAAGTGCCAAGCTCTAGGGGTTGGGTGAAAGCCCCTCAACCTTGGGCTTCAGTTCTGCCTCCTGCTCCTGGCCCACTGGAGCTAGAGGCTTTTCTTCACTCAGACAGCTGTTGGCTGCCAAGACTGACAAGCCCAAGGTTGACAAGTAAAAAGGCACAGTCCCGATGTTACCAAACCACACAGCAGGCCATTAATTTAAGTCCACTCAAAGTCCCAAGGTCGGCAGAGCATGGCAGGCTGCTGAACAACAATACAGCTACATGCAGAGTTCAAGCGTGCCATTAAGCTAGAGACCATTCCCAAAGCTGCTCCTTATATACAGGAAGCAGACCACATAACCAAAGGCAGCTCCTCAGCTGCTCAGTCGATTCCGCCATGGAGTTGATTACCAGTCTCATCATGGGGAATACTACATCCAGCTGCCCAACCACTCAACCAGGCCCAGCCAAGTTGACACACAAACTTAACCACCATAGCCAGACACTTCATGCCTTTACCTCCCCCCATTTTAGATGTTGTTGTTATGTGCCGTCAAGTCAGACCCGACTCATAGCAACCCCTCCTTGGGTTTCCGAGGCAGTATCACTATGGAGTAGATTGCCCCATCTTCCTTCCGAGGAGTGGCTGGTGGATTTGAACTGCCAGCCTTCTGGTTAGCAGTCAAGTGCCTCAGGCACTATGCTACCAGAGCTCCTCCCATTTTAGATAGTCAATGCTTAAATTGCCTGTCCCTATCAAATCAGTGGGAGCTGATTATTTTTTTATTTTATTTATTATGATTACAATTCAGGATCAGAAACAACTCAGGATATGGATCTTTGGTTAGGACAGCTTCTTCTCAGCTGTACCCATAGGCACGCCTCTCTCTGGCCTTCAGCCTCTGCCTTGCTCAGCCAACTGTTACAAAGTTTGTTAGCTCTACCAGTAAGTGCCCAGAAGATACCCCCTCCATCAGCAAGCCTCCTGCCTGAAGGTACTCAGCTTTCTTGCTCTGTGGGCCAGTAAGCCCACAGCATCATCTCCTGCCTGTCTCTTGGTTCTGCTGCCTCTGCTTCTCGCCATCTCCAGTGTTACAGCTCTTTCTGTCTTCACAGTCTAGGAAGTTCTTAGCGCAGGGATTCAGGGTCCAAAGGACAAATTCCACTCCTGGCTCTTTTTTCTTGGTGGTTTTGAGGTTCTCCCCTTTCTGCCTTTGAGATGGCTCATTTTAAGCCTAGCAAGATGGTAAAACTGACCAATCACCTTGTTAGGGTTCCATACACCTTATTTCCATAGTCCCACTCAGTCATTTTGTGGGAGTTATAAAGATTATGGTTAGAAAGACCATATTAAGAAATTCAATGTACCACACTGACTTTAAATACCGTGTAGGTTATTTTAATCAAAACACAAGAGCACAGTTTTTCAGGAGAAAGGCAAACATTTATGGCACTAAGTTGTAACAACTTCTTTTTTCTAGGATGTCATCTACGTCACCTGCAGACCCCAGGATACTAAGCCTCAGATGCCTAAACATCTCTAGAACTCAGTCAATGCTTGCTCCCGTAATTAAAGTGACATATCACACACACACACACAAACTCACACAGATATGGGTCATTATCAGTCAGGTTTATGTTAATGGCTTCACAGTAGCAACACAAAATGTACTCTATGTCACATTTCCATAGGAAAGGTTATATATACACTATACACTTCAGCCGTGAAATGTGGACCCAAAAAACCATTCAATTCTCAATAATTGGATCAATGTGCTGAGGGTCTCACACCCTGAAATCCAATTCAGCAGAGCAAAAGTCCCTCCTTTGCTGCCAGGCGCTGGCGGTGAACTTTGTCTTGCTGCAGCTCCTCATGATTTGGATGCCAGAGTTTCATGATGATCCTTTCAATGTTGAGGGCATACACAGTATGTGTGGGGATCACTTCCCTATGTACCTGTGATTTAAAAATTATCATGTCTCCAATTATATATATTTTTCAACATATAAAATACAAAAAAGCACTCATGCAACAGATAGCACCATCTTAAAGTCAGAATTTAATAAACCTCAAATCAGATAATAAGAAAAGGATATAAGGTTCTAAAATGGGAACAATGGGATCAGAATTTTTTTTTATTGGAAGTGGTGGTGGTGATAGGGTTGACAGTTTTGGGAGTGTGAATTAGGAAGGGTTCATGGGCCCACGGAGCTCTGGTGGCACAGTGCCTAAGGCATCTGACTGCTGACCAGAAGGCTAGAGGTTCAAACCTACCAGCTGCTCTGTGGGAAGGAAGATGGAGCAATCTACTTCCGTAAAGATTTATTGCCTTGGAAACCCAATGAGGGTCATTGTGAGTTGGAATCAACCTGATGACAGTGACTTTTTTTTTGGAGTTTTAGGGGCCTAGGACATGAAAAATGAGACTAGTAATTAATGCGTTTAATGACAATAAAAACTGAAAATCAAAAAAGCCAAGAAGTGAAAAAACATCTTTGCAGACTTGAAGAGTATTTTAACCTATATATAAATCTAGGTAAACTTTAGGGCGCCCACATTACCTGCAAAGCTTCAAAAAGGTCGTACATGTTCACTGGAGGCAAAGATGCAGGCAGTGTGTCCCCGGAGCATGCTAGCAGGAGCGCGGCCTGCTGTTCGGCATCATCAGGTGGTGGGTGAGAAGCTGCATTCTGACCAGCACAGGGAGCAGAAAAGGCTGGAGGGCTGAAAAAAAATTTTTTCAGAAATATTTTTAGTAATTAGGACTGAGACAACTGAACAAATGGAACAGGAATGGGCTTCTAGAACGCATCTTATTAAAAACCATAACATGAACTCATAATTATTTTTCAACTAGTTGTTTTAATTTTTAAAGGCAGCCCGTCTGTCAGATTAGAAACAAAATACAGTGCAATTCCATGTACCTTCTTCCTCCACAATGTTAAAATATTTACTAGGCTCAGGATAGGAGCTCTGGTAGCATAGTGGCTAAAGCACTTGACTGCTAACCAGAAGGCTGGCGGTTCAAACCCACCAGCCACTCCTCGGAAGGAAGGTTGGGCAATCCTACTTCCGTAGTGATACTGCCTCGGAAACCCAAGGAGGGGTCGCTATGAGTCGGGGCTGACTCGACGGCACACAACAGCAACAACAACAACAACAACAACAGGCTCAGGATAACCAAAACCAAACCCACTGCTGTCCTATCGATTCTGGCTCATAGTAACCCTACAGGACAGAGTAGAACTTTCCCACTGGGTTTCTAAGACTGTAAACCTTTTGGAAACAGACTGCCACATCTTTCTTCTGCAGAGCAGCAGTGGGTTCAAACTGCCAACCTTCTGGCTAGCAGCTGAATGCTTAACCACTGTGCCACCAGAGCTCCTAAGCTAAAGACACTGAATTAAAATTGTTTCTTGGCCTTAAAGAGCTTCAAGTCAAGTAAAACTATATTACTTAATTACGAATACGATATCTGAAAAAAACTGACTGGAGAGGAAGGTAAATGGTATCAGAGACAAAAGGATCAGAAATAAAGAGCAAGGATAGAAAATACAGCACAAAAGAAGCAACACGCAAAAATATAGGATAGAGAGAATTAATCCAGATGTTGCCAATTTTCCCCCAAACAGAAGCCAAGCTGGGAAGTCAGGCATGAGTTCCCCATCATAGACAATAGGAAACAACCTATACAATTTGAGGAATGTACAAGGAGGTAAAACAAAAGCAGGCGAAATAAACTGAAGGAAAGTAAGAGTGGAATAGTACCGTGGGTTTGAGGCATCAGGCAAAAGCAGCCCTGTTAAGAGAAACCCTAACAGGGACCAGCCCACAGGGGAGAGAGGGCCCAGGAGCCTGCCAGGGACAGAGAGAGACCTGCTCCCAACATTCACCCATTATAAGAAGACACTTTCGTTTATGTTTTTGTCTAGAGAAGAGTGACTTACAAATAATCCCAGATAACAGGTACCTGAGTGAGATTTAGATAATATATCTTCATATGACAATCTAAATAGCCCAATTTAAGACAATGCTCTTCAAAACAATCCTTGTGACGCCATCAAGGTCTTCAGAGCAATGAAATGGGCACAGGGCACCAGCACAACCCCTACCACATGGTGTCAACACCATCTGTTCTCTGACCCTCTTCTCAGCTTTTCCCCTACTCCCCTGTTACACCTCCTGCCTTTCCCTTCCTGTTACTTCTTCACCACCATCACTCCTCCCAAACCTCCCCATCATACTTTTTTCTCTGACCTTCTGTGTTTCTCTGTCATCTCTTTACCTGTTTTCTTCCTAACTAACCAGATACACAAAGCCAAACATGCAGAGAAATTCACTCACTGCATTAATCCTGAGGAAAAATGTATTATTCCCTCCCCACTCCACCCCCAAGCAATCTACTTGGTAGTGATACCACCTAAGAAACCCAGGGAGGGGTCTTGGAAACCCAAGGAGGGGTCGCTAGACTAGGACTCCATTCCACTGCACATAACAACAAAAAGCCCACCCTTAAAAGTTTAAATCTTTAGGCTAAATCTTTTTTTTTTTTTTTCATTTGGAGGGATCAAACTAGTTAACACACAGATAAAGGTAATCTATGTCATCTCATAAAAGGGTGACTCAGGGACATAAGGGAGGGTATGGGAGGCCTCAAGGAGAGGGAGATGAGGGATAGGAATCCCAGCAGAGACCAGAGAGCTGAGGGAACAGATCTGTAAAACAAGCTGCCAAAAGCAATCTGATAACACCTGGCAAAGGCCACTATCTTGAGCTATGGCTGCCAAGAGCCAGAGGAGGACCTAGAGAAACACCTAACCACTCCTCCCACCATCAAGAAACCTGAGCTTGTGGAAACAGAAATACCATATGAGCCAGCAATCCCACTACTAGGTGTACATCCCAGAAAGAAAAAGAGCTGTGACACAAAACAGAAATATGCACACCCACGTTCGTCACAGCACTATTCACAATAGCAAAAAGATGGAAACAACCTAAATGCCCATCAAAAGAGGAATGGATCAACAAACTATGTACATACACACAATGGAATGCTATGCAATGGTAAAAAATATTGACAAATCTTTGAAACATCTCATAACATGGATGAACTTAGAGGCCATTATGCTGAATGAAGTTAGTCAATCACAAAAGAGTAAATATTGTATAAGACTACTGTAAAAAGTCAAGAAAAGAGTTTCACAAAACAGAAATATTCTTCAATGGTTACCAGGGTTGACTGGGAAAGGGAGGGTAAACCATTAACTAAGAAAAAAATACCTAAGCATGCCCCAACAATCACAGGCCATGCTTCTGACTAAGAGCAGGCCCACTTGCAGTGTCAGGCAAGTGCTGCCTGAAGAGCCAACAGAATGTACTACCCAAAGGAGTCAAACCGTCCCACCTGAGAAAGTGTGGGGCACTCACTCATGTTACCCTACATATAGCAGTCAAACTCTAGAACCTCACTCCTGATGTAAAGAACACCCAAATAATTCACTAGATACGATGCAAGGATAGAACTTAAGAAAATAAAATTATACTTCTGTCAAAGGTACTTAAAGAGTTCTGGTGGTACAGTGGTTAAGGCATTTGGTTGCTAACCAAAAAGGTCAGTGGTTTGAACCCACCAGCTGCTTCATGGAAGAAACATGGGGTGGGCTGCTTTTATAAAGATTTACAGCCTTGGAAACCCAGGGGGTTGCTATGAGTCAGAATCAACTCCATGGCAGTGAGTCTGGTTTTGGTTTTTGTCAAAGTTACTCACAGAAACACAATAAGCAATTATTTAATAGCGGTCTATAATGTAAGTATTGTAAATAACTAGGAAATGAATGATGGAAACAAAATCACAAACTTCAGTTACCTTTCTATTAAACTGTTGTAAGCTATTATGCTATTCTTGAGGTATGGCTGTGGAGTCACATTACTACCAAAGGCATATTTAAAATGACCATCTCGTAAGCGGTATGCTTTTCTTCTTGACACAACTGATGTCAGAATATCTTTAAGATGATTCTGTGAAAATGAGAAAGAAAATTAGCATGAACTTCTGTTTAAAAGCCAACTATCCCTGAAACTACGGCTACGAGATAATCTTTAAAACTTAAACCAAAAATTTCCCTGAAGTCTTCTTAAAAGAAGACAGTTTAACTTAACTAGTAAAAATATGTCTGTCTTGAATATGATGCTCTTTTGAGAATTATCTAAATGGGTTCAAAGTGACAACAGCAACTTGAAAGATTAGATAGGAACCTTAGGGGCCAGTGAGTTTATATAATGGAGGAACAACACAGAAAAGGAGAGTGAGAATGCTTGCACAATTCGAAGAATGTAATCACTGCTGCTGAATTAACTGTACAATGTGGAACAGTTGAACTGGTATATGTTTGCTGTGTATATTCTTAACAACAAAAATTGAAAAAAAAAAAAAAAAAAAAAGGAAATCATAAAACTCCAAAGATGACCAAAAAATGTGAACTGGCATTTAGTGGATGCAGGTGTGGGGCAGGAGGGCACATGCAAGAACCAATGAATGCTCACTGACGAGCTACAGGGTAGCACCAGAGGAGCAGAGGTGTAGGAAAGACAGAGACGTGCTTATTATTTAGTTCTACTTAAGATGGGCTTGCTCTACATGAAATTTATTAAAGATGTTTTTGTGTCCTACATTTGCTCCTCTCCCTCAAAAATGATTTTCAGATAGAATAGAGTAAAAGTAAAATAAGTGAATGAATGCATACATATGCACATAATTAAGTTTTTGAGAGGCAAATTACCTTGAAACTTGGTTTAAAAACAGAACAGAAAGTTCCCAGATGTGGTATTTATTGGTTAGAATGCCCTATGTACTAAAATCCTTGCATAAGAATAGTGTGCAGACAGTCCCTAGAATTACCCCCTTTCAAAAGCTATATAAACAACAAATATAGGAAATAAGCACATACACACAAAATAAAAACAACTTAATTTTTCTTCACTTTTATGAGAGGCAAGTACCTAAGAGATGGATGGAGAAGTCTATTGAAATGGAAGCAGGGCTAGTCCCAGACTAACAGGGGAGGGAGCTTGGACCAAGCAGGGGGTTTTCAATTAAATCCATAAGACTACCTTACCCAGGGCAGCACTGTTGCATTTAGCATGGGTTTTCATTTAATGTTTACAACTCCATGAGACAGCTATTAGTATCTCTGAGATACAGATGGGAAACTAAGGCCCAGGGAATTAAGAGGACATACGCACAGTCACCTGACAGTACATGCATACTTGTATGCCCCAATCACATTTTGTCAACTAAGCAAATAAAATAAAGGGACGAATGAATGGTGTGCTGAGACAAGAATCCCATTGTTCAAACACCAACTCTAATGTTCCTCCAACACTATCCATCCCAGTTGCAACAAAGGACTCTGCAGATTCTCAATCTCATTTCTTCCCTTAAAAACTGTTCCCTTGTTGAAAAAACAAACATAAAACCAAGCAGAAGTGTTACACCATGGGTAATTTATCTGGTAAGTCAGACTATTCACTGATGGCAATCCTCTGGCTTGTGATGTATTCCTCCCTCAGAAGATAACTCTAATGATGACAATGCCATGAGATCAGAGTGACATTTTGGTTCTTTCCCTGCAATGTCAACTTTAAGCAACAAATACAACCTCATTACATTCAATTTGTAAAATTATCTCTACCAACAGCAAACTAACTTCTACTGCGTAGACAACAGCTGAGACAGCCTCCTCGGTGACGTTGTCCAGCCCGTACTCATAAGCAGTCACTATCATTCTCCCCTCCAGCTGACCCCGAGTGGGGAGCATCATCGTGTGGGAACAAAGTTTCAAGTCATCATCATCTTGAGGATCCTTTGGCATAAATTGCTGGGCTCCCGAAAGGGGATTTTGAGGCTGAAATCTATGCTAGAGGTTAAAAAAAAAAATTATTCATTACAGTGCCCCATAATAAAACACAAGGAGGTCTAGTGGTACAGTGTCTAAGGCACAACCCTTAAGGTTGGCAGTTCAAACCTATCAGCCACTCTGTAAGAGGAAGATGAGGCAGTCTACTTCCATAAAGATTTACCACCTCGGAAAAGCAGTGAGGGTCGTTATGAGTTGGAATCAACTCAATGGCAGTTGGTTTGGTTTTTCGGCATTTTTTGGTAACAAAACACAAACAAAAGTAACCTATGTACTGGATTTGAGATCTCACAAATTAATGCCAAAATTATACCAAAAGAAAAATAACTTGTGAACAAATAATCATTAACTAATATCCATTACACAGTAATAATGAAGGTATGAATGAAAGGGAAATAAAGGTAGTGTGCATAGTAGTAAGGAGCACTGGTGGTACAGTACCTAAGGCATCTGACTACTAACCAGGAGGTTGGTGGTTCAAACCCACCAGCCACTTCAAGGAAGGAAGGCTGGGCAATCTACATCAGTTAAGATTTACTGCCTTGGAAACCCAAAGGGGGTTGCTATGAGTCAGAATCAACTAGATGGCAGTGACTTTGGTTTTTTGGTTTGTGCAGTAGTAGTTTATTCTATTCAATTAATATCTTAGTGATCTTAGAATATATACTAAAGATAATAATTTTGGAGAAAAATACATAACTAAGCTCTCAATATATATAATTAATGCTTCAATTAAGTGCTAAAAAGCCTAACCAACCAATATGACAGATCTAATAAAGAATATTTCAAGATAATGTTGGGTAATTTAATGTTAAGTTACTGTTATTCTCTGTGTAAAATTCTCAACACAGAACCTATCCAAGACTAGTTATTAAAATTTTTTTCTCAACTTGATTTCACCCATAAACACTTAACCTTGCTTTGGGAGATTTCTGATGTCCACATGCATTCTCCATCATGAGTTGGAGATACGCCCAAGCTAGTTTTTACTTAAATCCAACACAGAAGATTTTACAGCAAAAATGGCTTGTTCTATTGGAAGTTTGTATTATAAAAACAAAATGTGTTGTTTTTCCAAGTATAAAATTATACTGAACATGTCATTTTAAATCAAGTGTGTCTCTCTGGAAAGAATGGTGGCATCCAGGCTTATTATTATCAATGACTAAAAGATAAAGCAAGTGTAAAAGCAAACAAGTGTCTGTTGATGTTAACCAATAAAACTAAACCCAACATACAGCCAAACAGTAGATTCCGACTCACAGCGACCCTACAGGATAGAGTAGAACTGCCCCATGGAGTTTCCGAGGCTGTGAATCTTTATGGAAGAAGACTGTCTCATCTTTCTCCTACAGAGCGGCTGAGAGTTGGTTAGCTTCACCCACAGCATTACCAGAGCACCTTGGTAACTAATAAAGCTAAAATTCAGTCAAACCTATAAAAGGGATTACTTCTGAGAAATTTTTTTCCCTAGATAAACTGAAAAAGCAAGTTACTCTAAAATCCTTATACATTTTATAGCCAATGTCCTCAGGGCATCTCTGCTGTTCCCCTGAAGGTTCAGGGTCTACCTAGAGGTTGGTGAGGACCTACTAGAGGCCTCCAGGTCTCTTAGACCCTTGGAATATAGTCATTCAATCTTAGAAATTATTTTTCCAAGAAAATATTTAAGAGGAGAAAGAACAGTTATGACTTTTGAATCAATGGAGAATCACTGGGTATTAATAACAACATGTTAGTATTTAAGCAATAACAAACTAGAGTTAAAAAATGCAAACTGGTACTCAGAATCTTTGAAGCCTTTACAAACTTGAATTATAGTAACACCTTTTCTCCTAAAATTACACTCCCTTCTATTTCAACATTATTGCCCAATCTTCCTTCCAAGGAGTGGCCGGTAGGTTTGAACCACCAATCTTCAGGTTAGCAGTTAAATGCCTTAAGCACTATGCCACCAGAAATCCTTCAACATTATTACCAGTATTTTAATATTCTTTTAAAAACTAAAGCTAGTTGCACCACATTTAAATCACTACCAAGATCATTACTCCTTAAGTCTTTCAGCAAGATCTACTGAAGAATAACATACATCAAATTTCTGACGAACTGAAGAAAGCTTTTTCTTTCCCTTGGGTTTTCCAGGTTTGGCTGCAGAACCCCCAGTCCAGGGTAAAGATCCAGCACCCTCTATGAGACAGAAAAGTAACAATCATAAGTTAAATAATAATGCTTAAATTCAAATCCTTTCAAATCACATGTTTTTTCCAGCTGTAACCAAAAATCTTTTTTTAAGAAGACAAATTTGGTTTTTTCACTTTTTACATTTGTAATCAATGTTTATTAGGTGTTTGGCTTGTTCATTATTATTATTATAAAAGTAGGACAGAATTTTCTAGTTCAAGATGGTGAATTGAGTATTTAACTCCGTTCCCTTCTGATATCCTATTAAAAATAAGGACAGGAAGATAAATGGCATATATCGACACAAAGAGATAAAGAAGAAAATGAGTGGCAGACAAGATGACCTCTGAACAAATGTCTTGGAGGGGAAAACAGTGCTGACTTACAAAGTAGACTCACAGAAGCTGTGGCTTAGTTTATGCAAACAAGGTTGGAAAAAGAGGTGGGAACAAATCAACCTAACTTGTAGATAACTAGTTTGTAACTAGTGTGGACAATGTGAGCGACGTGGAAACCAAGGGAGATCAGTAAGACTAAAAGCTAGAAGATTCATGGAACATTTATATTCAAGGCATCCATACAAACCCTTTCTCTCAACCCATGAACTGGCTACATAATTTGGTAGGCTCAGTACAAAATGACATAAGATGACAGCAGGGCATTAAACCAAGAGCTGGTCCCTTCTGCTTGAAGGGCCCACGAAGCTAGCCCTGCTCATTCCCATGCACAGTATGACACAAAGCCCAATATTTATACAGAAGGGACAGGGAGGGAGTGGGTTACTCTTCTCTAGTTAAACTGCACAGAACTTCTAGGATCAACTTAGGCAGTTGGTATGGATGTTGGCACCCCAGAGTAAAGCTCTCTGCATGCTTGAATTTGGCCGCTCTCAGATTAACTGCTGGCTTTCTGCTTACCCTAAAGCTAAGCCTCCAGGCAGCTTTTCATGTTTCATCTTAATATGAAAAGAACAGCAAAGAATCACAAGATACTTGAGGATAAGAAAACACCAAGATAAACAAACAAAAAATAGAAGTTCTAGAAAAATGAAAATTCAGGGAAGTGAAGAGGACTTTGAAAGACTTCAAATTGGGATCCTCAGATGTGGGACATGTATCCATTAAAAAAAATGCTGTAAAATTTGCTGAATTAAAAAATGCATTGAACAGAAAGGCTGAAGTTGAGGAAATTTCATAGAACATAAAGCAGAAATACAAAAGACAGATAATGTCTAAAGTCAGTAAATCCAGAACCAGAATGAAGCATACTGTGAGAAGCTAGAGGCTGCTCTATAACAACAAAAAGTAGCTGCTTCCAGGAACAAATAGGAAGGAGCTATGGCTTTCATTTTAAGATTGTCTGTACTATTGATTTTTTTAAAATTATGGTTTAATGTAAAAAAGAAAAAAAGAAAAAAACCAGAAACCTAAAGTAATAAAAAGTTTATTAGGATATACTTGAATATATAATTGAAAAGTACTTTTTAAGAAAGAAAAAAAAAATCATTACAAAATTGATGTTTTGCGAAGGACAGGTTTTTAAAGCTTTTAAACAGGCTTCAAACCCCTTCATTCATGGCTGATGAAGCAAAACCAGAACAGACCCAAATTTTTTAAATTTGAGCTATCCAGAACACTAACCAGAATGAGAAAAATCACGGGTTGAAGCCATGGAATGGGAAACTCAGAAGAGGCACAGGGAGCCCTTTCAGGAAAGGATGTGTGGCACTGGATTACTAGCAGGATTGTGGAGTGCGACACACATTCAGAGTGGGACGGTCAGCCTCCATCTTTGAGCAGGGCACAGTTGTTTTCAACTCTTCCAGTCAAGAGAATTGGCTGCCATGCAATGTGCCCATTGCCCTTGTTTTTTAAGAGGGAGATTAAGTGTCTAGCAGAGCTTCAACCCCTAATTTTCCCTGTTCTGGATAGCGTTCCAGTTCACCCTCATTTTAAATATTCAGGTCCATTCTAGTGTCTCTTCATCAGCCATGACTAAACCAGGCCAAACTGGTTTGAAGCCCTGCTTTGAAAAAAAACAACAACAACATAATTCCAAGTTCCTCAATGAAAAGAACTGTCTGGGAAGTCTCTATCACTTTAAATGGCTTTGGCACACCAGATCTCACTTGATAATACCATCAGCCAATCTTAAAATTATTCCCCAAAAAATCTACTCTGATAAATGGAACCGAAAGTTAGGTGAGGAAAAGACAAAGCAGGCTGAACATCCAGAGGATGAGGCAAAACAGGCCTTCAAAAGCCTGGGAGTCCTGCTGGGTAGGTGAGGAAGTGGAATCTGATAAGGACTAACCCTGACAGGAAAGTTTTATGGCCCTAGGTTACTATTTGGGAGCTCTGGTAGCATAGTGCCTAAGGCACTTGACTGCTAACCAGGAGGCTGGCGGTTCAAACCCACCAGCCACTCCTCCGAAGGAAGATGGGGCAATCTACTTCCGTAGTGATACTGCCTCAGAAACCCAAGGAGGGGTCACTATGAGTCGGTCCAACTCAACTGCACATAACAAAAGGTTACTATTTGGATCTCAAGTAGGCTAGGGCCTGAGGCAACTTTCTTTTTATTTCCTTTGGCCTTGACATCCTGAAAGGTTGTTGTGAGGATTAAAGACAATGTATGTAAAGTGTCTAGCATACTGTACACAGTCAATAATGTTATTAAAATCATCTTTCCTGCCTTAGACAAATAGAAAATAGAAAATAATCATTCACAATCATTTTAAGTGCAAAGACCTATATTTTACTTATAGTAGTAAGCATCAGTTTGTTGCTAGCAAACATTAATTTCATTTTGGAGTCTGATTTTGGGTGCTGATGGAGAAATAATCTCTCAAATTCCCAATGGGACATTTCTTCACATATTTTTAAATAACTAGAAGCAGTATCAAAGGTTTCTATTTAACTAGAATCAGTCACTTACACTTACTAATACTACTTCATATCTGTTTGGCATTTTTTACTTCTAATAGCACTGATTATATTTTCTTTGATTTGCTCTTTCATAACCCTGTATGATAGGTTTCTTACTTCCCCCACCACTAAGTAGTTAATTGCATTATTTAAGTTAGTTGATAAAACCTAAACCTAGTTCTCTCGACCAAGGGTTTTCTTTTGATCACTTTTGGGTTTGTGGCACTCCAAATATAGCCACCTAAGCAGACCTCAACCTCAAAATGCTGGCTTTTCTGAGCAAATTAAATGTTATACTACAAAGTGAATGCTCCTTGTGATCTAACTTTGGACATAAAATAGGTGTAACTAAAGTCCATGTTAATAAATAGAACATCAAAAATACGGCATTGTGTGAGAATAGTGGTTAAACCTCTAACACCTACATCCATAAACAAATGCTTGTTCACTGTTTACACTTTACAGAGACCAACTTCTTTTGAGGTTGGAGGAATTAGGTTTTAGGAACAATTCTTTATCAGGAGTAGAAGTTAGCAAAAAACGGATAATACAAAATCCTAGCCATTTCCAAGTGAAACAAGGATTTTTGATAAATGATCACAAGAATCATCCTTTGTTCTTTTAAAGCAAAAAAAAAAATCCAACTTAATTTACAGAAGGAGGGATCTAAGCTTTTACCAAGAGCCTGGGATGGATCTTACATGAGTTAAGTTTTTAATGTTATTTGTTGACTAAACTGACTGAAATAAGACAGATGAAAGAGGTGATTGAGAACTTAAGCTACCACCTGAGTTCCAAAAACTCAGATATAAAGGGCCAGTGTTTCTATTTGTACCTTTTTAGGAACAAGTCACTGATTTAGCTGCTACCCATGTCCCCAATATGTTGTTATTTCCTACCTTTCCATCTCCACCAATCATCTGCCAAATACACGGTATGCTGCACACTTGGCCATCAACAGTATGAAACTCTAACTTCCAGGTGCTAGTAACTTACTATGAATACCAGTGAGAGTCCAGGTTCTAGGGCATGCTGTGGCTTCCCTCCCCATGTAACGCATCTCCCCTAAATATACCAAATAGCTTCTCCTAATACCAACTCCAGGAGCTCTGGTAGCATAGTGCCTAAGGCACTTAACTGCTAACCAGAAGGCTGGCGGTTCAAACCCAACAGCCACTCCTCGGAAGGAAGGTTGAGCAATCTACGTAGTGATACTGCCTCAGAAACCCAAGGAGGGGTCGCTATGAGTTGGGTCTGACTCAAAGGCACATAACAACAACAATACCAACTCCCTCTCTTCATTTCCCTTCAGCTTCTCTATCCTGACCTCCCATTCTCAATTATTTAAGTAAACTGAAATCCAACTGACTTGGAAGTAAAAACCAAAGTCAATCTAAGTATAGGGAGATCACCTTCTTAAAAAAAAATTCTCTAAAAGATGTAGCTACTAACATTTCTAAGCAGTTCAAAGAACATTTCACTGGCAAGCAGAAGGTGTGTGTCTATTAAAGGAGCTAAGACTTCTGCCCCATGGCTTTGGTGGTTGACATGTACTAGAAGTATTTACAGTGACTTACCTGGTGTAGAAACCAAAATCTGGCAACGTGTGAGAATAGCCAGGAGGAAATCGTTGTGAGAATGGACTGAAAAAGGAAGATTATCACACATCAAATACAAAATATTTACAACGTAAGGAAACCATTACTTTAGTCTAACTTGTAAGGGTCTGGATGTCCCCTAATCTAACATTCTTTACTCTTAATTTTAAATATTCTCATTATTAAGGTGGCCTTACTATTACCACTAAAGCCAAAACCTTAGTTTTTAAAAGCAAAAAGACTAACTTCTTGCAAATTTGGGAAAACTTCAGAATAGTAAAATAACTCCTGTGTGTCAACTTGGCTGGGCCTGGCTGAGTGGCTAGGATGAGACTGGTAATCAACTCCATGGTGGAATCTACTGTGAGCAGCTGAGGAGCTGTCTAAGGGATGTGGTCTGCCTTCTGTATATAAGAAGCAGCTTTGGGAATGGTCTCAAGGTTATGACACGCTTGAACCCTGCATGTAGCTGTGTCGTTGTTCAGCAGCCTGCCATGCTCTGCCAACCGTGGGACTTTCAACAGACTTGAATTAATGGCCTGCCATGTGGTTTGGTAACATTGGGACTCTGCCTTTTTACTTGTCCACCTTAGGCTTGTCTCAGCAGCCAGCAGCTGTCTGAGTGAAGAAAAGCCTCTAGCTCCAGTGGGCCAGGAGCAGGAGGCAGAGCTGGACCCCAAGGTTGAGGTGAGGGGCTTTTATACCTAGTCCCTAGAGCCTGGTACTCTGAACTCAGACTTAAAGCCTCCAAATAGTAAGAGAATAAACTCCCGTTTGTCCAGCCATCCCATTTGTGGTATATTCTTGTCAGAGTGGCACTAAACGCAACCACTGCAGTTGAGTCAGACCCAACTCATAGCGACCTTGGGCTTCCGAGGTGGTATCACTATGGAAACAGATTGCCCAACCTTCCTTCCGAGGAGTAGCTGGTGGGTTTGAACCGCCACCCTTCTGGTTAGCAGTCAAATGCCTTAGGACTGTGCTACCAGAGCTCCCGAGCACCACAGTGGCACTGGGTAACCGAAACAACTCCCCAGATAACTGTTTTACCATTATCCTGTGTGAGAAGTCTATGAGCTTCAAGGTCAAACTCTTCTTTGCTGATCTTCTGCTTGAACCACAACTTTAAGTTAGCCCAGTATCTGCAGAGACACAAACAATATTAAGAACCACAGGTCTTACATTTTTCCCAAGTTCACTTCTCTCTCACACTCCAGGGAAAGAAAGTTTGCACTCCCTAAACCATTCTTTTTACCTTTTTGTTACTGAGTCAATTCGAACTCATGACGACTCATGTTATCAAAGTAGAAATGTGCTCCACAGGGTTCTCAGGGGCTGATTTTTTCAAAAACAGATCTTCAATTCTTTCTCCTAAAGTGCCTCTGGGTGGACTCAAACCTCCAATCCTTCGGTTAGTAGCCAAGTGTGTTAACTATGTGTGCCACCCAGGGACTCTCATCCTAGACCTTGTCGTTGTTGTTGTTATGTGCTGTCGAGTCGGCCCAACTCATAGTGACCCCTCCTTGGGTTTCCGAGGCAGTATCACTACAGAAGTAGGATTGCCCAACCTTCCTTCCTTCCTAGACCTTAGGATGTGAAAATACCAAGAAAAGAAACATGAAGGAAAATTCTCCCTAAAAGAGGACTGACAAGTAGTCACACAATCAGACAAATGGTTCAATTGGCCAAAAACTACAGCTATAATTTTCCTTCCTCACTGTGACCTTTTTAAAACACCTTTTGTTGTTGTTAGGTGCCTCCAAGTTGGCTCTGATGCAGTGACCCTACGTACAACAGAATGAAACACTGCACAGTCATGTGTCCTCACAATCCTTGCATATTTGAGCCCATTGTTGCAGCTACTGAGTTAATCTATCTTCTTGAAGGTCTTCCCTTTTTTTGCTGACCCTCCACTGTACCAAGCATGACATCTTTCCCCAGGGAATGGTCTCTTCTGGCGTGACCAAAGTAGGTGAGAGGAAGTCTGGCCACTCACGCTTCCAAGAAGCATTCCAGCTGCACTTCCTCCAGGACAGATGTTAGTTCTTCTGTCAGTCCATGCTGCTTTCAGTATTCTTCACCAACACCGCAACTCAAAAACATCAACTCTTTTTTGGTCTTCCTTATTCACTGTCCAGCTTTCACATGCATATGAGGTGACTGACAATAGCATGGCTTGGGGTTAGGTGCACCTTACTTTTGAAAGTGACATCTTTGCTCTTCAACACTTGAAAGAGGTCTTTTGCAGCGGATTTGCCCAGTGCAACACAACGTCTGATTTCTTGACTGCTGCTTCCATTGGTGTTGATTGTGGATCTAAGTAATATACAATATCTGACAACCTCAATCTTTTCTCCATTTATCATGAGGCTGCTTACTAGTCCAGTTAGTTGTGAGGATTTTGTTTTCTTTATGTTGGGGTATAATCCATACTGAACACCATAGTCTTTAATCTTCATCAGTAAATGCTTCAAGTCATCTTCACTATCAGCAAGCAAGGTTGTGTCATCTGCATGTCACAGGTTGTTAATGAGTCTTATTCCAATCCTGATGCCGCATTCTTCTTCATATAGTCTAACTTCTCAGATTATTTGCTCAGCATACAGACTGAATAGGTATGGTAAAAGGATAAAACTCTGATGCATGTTCTTTCTGATTTTAAACCACGCAGTATCCCCTTGTTCTGTTTGAATGACAGCTTCCTGGTCTATGTAAAAGTTCCACATGTGCACAATTAAGTGCTGTGGAATTCCTATTCTTTTCAGTGTTTTCCATAATTTGTTATGATCCACACAGTAGAATGCTTCCGCAAAGTCAATAAAACACAAGTAAACATCTTTCTGGTATTCTCTGCTTTCAGCCAAGATCCATCTGACACCAGCAATGTTATCCCTCGTTCCACATCCTCTTCTCAATCCAGCTTGCATTTCTTGAAGTTCCCTGTCAATATACCACAACTGTTTTTATCTTCAGCAAAATTTTACTTGCGTGTGATACTAATGATATTTGTTCAATAATTTCCACACTCTGTTGGATCACCTTTCTTTGGAGTGGGTACAAATATGGATCTCTTCCAGTTAGCTGGCTAGATAGTTGTCTTCCAAATCACTCCTGAAATAGTTAAACATCGACCAATTCTTTTTTGTATACTGAATTGTATACTTTTTGTATACTGACTGGAAGGTGTATTCTTTCCATTTACTTTTGATGCTTCCTGCATCATTCAATATTTTGCCCATAGAATCTTTCAACATTACAACCTGAGGTTTGAATTTTTTCTTCAGTTCTTTCAGCTTGAAAAATGCTAACTGTGTTCTTCCCTTCTGGTTTTCTATCTCCATGCCTTTTCACATTTCATTTTAATAACTGACTTTGTCTTTTCGAACTGTTCTTTGAAATCTTCTGTTCAGCTCTTTTATCTTGTCATTTCTTCCATTTGCTTTAGCTACTCTACATTCAAAAGCAAGTTTCAGAGTTTTTTCTGACATCCATTTTGGTCCTTTGTTCCTCTCCTGTCTTTTAATGACCTTTTGCTTTTTTCATGGATGATGCTCTTGATGTCATCTCAAAAGTTGTCTGGTTTTTGGTTATTGGTGTTCATCAAATCTATTCTTCAGATGGTTTCTAAATTCAGATGAGATTTAATCATGGTCATATTTCGGCTCTCGTGGACTTGTTTTAATTGTCTCAGCTTCAACTTGAACTTGCTGCATATGAGCAATTGATGGTCTGTTCCACAGTCAGCTAGCTCCTGGCCTTGTTTTGGCTGGAGATATTAATTTTCTCCATTGCCTCTTTCCACAGATGTAGTCAATCTGATTCCTGTGTACTCCATCTGGCAAGGTCCATGTGTATAGCTGCTGTTTATGGTGTTGAAAAAAGGAATCTGCAATGATTAAGCTGTTGGTCTTGCAAAATTCTATCATGCAATCCCAGGTGTCATTTCTATCACCAAGGCCATATTTACCAACTACCAGTGATTCTTCTTTGTTTCCAACTTTCGCATTCCAATTACCAGTAATAATCAATACATCCTGATAGCATGTTTAGTCAATTTCACATTGCAAAAGTTGGTAAAAATCTTCAATTTCCTTATTTTTGGCTTTAGTGGTTGGTGCAAATTTGAATAATAGTAGTATTAACTGGTCACCTTTGTAGGCGTATGGATATTATCCTACCATTAACAGCACTGTACTTCAAGATAGATCTTGAAACAGTCCTTTTGATGGTGAATGCCACACCATTCCTTTTCAATATGTCATTCCCAACATAGTAGATCATAGGGTTGTCTGATTCAAAATGGCCAAAACCAGGCCATTTCAGCTTAGTAGTGCCTAGGATGCATTCCCTTTCATTTTTGACAACTTTCAATTTTCCTAGATTCATACTTTTGTACATTCCATGTTCTGATTGTTAGATGTTTGCAACCGTCTCTTCCTATCTTGAGTCATGCCACATCATCAAATGGAGGTCCTGAAAGCTTTACTCCATCCACATCATTAAGGCTGACTACTCTGAGGCGGCAACTCTTACCCAGTTGTATTTTGAGTGCCTTCTGACCTGAGGGACTCATCTTCTGACATTGTATCAGACAATGTTTCACTGCTATTTATGAAATTTTCCAGTAATATATCAGACAATGTTTCACTGCTATTCATAAAGTTTTCACTGGCCAATTCTTTAAGAAATGGATGGCCCTTTCTTTCTTCCCAGTCTATCTGAGTCTGGAAACTCTGCTGAAACCTGTCCACCATGGGTGACCCTGCTGGTATCTGAAATACTGATGGCGTAGCCTCCAGGCTCAGAGCAATGTGCAAGCAACCACAGGATGTGACAAACTGACAGACGAGTGTTGGTCTAAAAGACTTACTCTAAAGAATCTTGGTGTAGAAATAAAATACATTTTAAGATTTACATTTTAATAGGTGAATGTGTTTTCTAGAAGGGGAGTGGTAGTTAATACTGATTCTAGTACCTTACTAATTCTTAATACCTCACCACAAAGAAAATACTCCTGGATATCAGAAACTTAGTTTTTAAAGTAAAACCAAACACTAATAGTAAAAATTACTAGTTATCTGATACAGGAGGAAAAAAAAATGCAACCTTTTACACTTTAACAACATTAGAAAAAAAAGTAACATACATGATTTTTCAGAGCTACACCCCTTTTTGGGGGGTGTTTACGCTGTTCCTTTCTTATGGAACAGGATTAAGAGTTACTCAGTAGATCATTTAAATCACTTTCAAGTTTACTTTCTAATCCTCATGTGAATTCCTGAGGAAAAGAATGCAGATTTCTAACTGAGATGGTCCATTTATTATCTATGTATCTATTTATTACCTACTTATCATTGTATTATAACCACAGCATCCCTAGGTGGCGCTCAGCTGCTAATGGAAAGACTGGAGGTTCAAATCCACTCAGATTTGCTGGGAAAAAAAAGCCTAGCGATCTATTTGCACAAAATCAGCCACTGGAAACCCCATGGAGCACAGTTCTACTCTGACACACGTGGGGTCATCATGTCCAAAGACAACTGGTTTTTGTTTTGCTTTTAAATACTCTCAGCAGGGCTTTTCCTACACATGATTAGCTTCAAGTCATCTTTGTATGCATAAATGTATGTAACTAAATATACCATTGACCGCCAGAAGAATGAATAAATGTATCTTGGAAGAAGTACAGCCAGAAAGCTCCTTAGACACAAGGATGGTGAGTCTTATCTCATGTACTTGGGACATGTTATCAGGAGGAACCAGTCCCTGGAGAAAGACATCATGCTTGGTAAAGTTCCTGTGTAAACCTTCTCTATGTTGTTGTTGTTATGTGCCCTCGAGTTGGACCCGACTCATTGTTTTCCTCAATACAAAATTGGAGTTGGTCTACCTGTGTGAAGATGAGGAGGATGGGGGAGGAATGAAGTGGGTCATACTACATCTAGGAAGCACTGGAGATATGCGGAGAAAACTAAATTACAAATAACAAAATCATCAAAATATCATTTAGCAACTTTACTGAGTACTATACACAAGGTGAATTAGCTACCAAAGCCTGTCTCTTTCTAGAAACTGACACAGGCACTCAAAGTTACAATCAGACAAAGAACATTCAGAGCACTGGATAAATAAAGAACAACTCAAATAAAGAACGACTCACATCCCGCCTCCTTATATGTCACAGATGTTGCACCTACCACCAAGGACCATATTTAAATGGCCAGGCTGTACCAACCAAGCAAAGCAAGCTACTCTTGGAGGAAAATGAGAAAAGTGACTGTAATATACAAACTATTACAGATTATTCAACCAAGAGGCACTTTTAAGAATAGAAAGAAGGAAAAAAAAAATCAATGAGCAAATGGAATACAGAACATATATTATTAACTGTCTCTGCCACAAAGGCCTATTTGGATACCATCACACTACAGATGCACCAAATTCAGCTTCACCACTGGTATTTGACCAACATCTGCTATTTGGCTTTGGTCTTTAATGACTCTTTAATTGAGTAGCCAACTTCAATATTTCTGGTATCTGTAAACCTGTGTGTGACTGATGAGCATGGGATCCCAGAAGTCACCATTGAATTTAATCATAATTAAAGTCAATCACACACACAAGTCATGTCCTTTAAGAATATATTTACATACAAAATCTTCTTATATCCTTTAGGAGTCAATAAACGTTCACAAAAAATTAAGTAACTCTGAGAGAATAACAGACTAGAGTTTAATTCTAATCTTTGTAGAAGTTTGGTTTATTACTACCTATAATATTAACATTATTTATACTTTTAATATAAATTATAATATTAAAAAGGGATTCTGGTGGCACAGTGGTTAAAGCATACGGCTGCTAACCAACAGGTCGGCAGTTCAAACCCACCAGCTGCTTTGAGGGAGAAAGATGAGGTAGTCTGCTTCTGTAGAGATTTCAGCCTTGAAAACCTTATGAGCAGTTCTACTCCATCCTACAGAGCTGCTATGAGTCAGAACTGACCTGATGGCAGTGGGTCTGGTTTTTGGTATATTATTACAATAACCTTTAAGAATTGTATTTCCAAAACCAAATCCAGCCCACTGCCATCAAGTTGATTCAGACTCATAGCGACCCCATTGGGTTTCCAAGGCTGTAAAACTTTACAGAAGTACATTTTCCTCCCGTGGAGCAGCTGGTGGGTTTGAACCACCAACCTTCTGATTAGCAGCTTTCACCACTATACCAGAGCTCCTTGAGAAATGTATTTAGTGTTTGTTTATTCCATTTAGGCCTTGAGTATCCTAGGTGGGAATTCTGCATATCTTGTCAGAATGAAAAGCAGAATGCCAACTCTGCTACCCCAAAATTTCCCAAGGAAAAACTCCAAAAATCATATATGACATCTAAACTAAGTAACTTCAATCTAATCATAATATAGAATATAATAAGAAAGACTATGGAAAGAAAAAAGTGGAGAAAAATAAAGTATCCTCCAAATCATGCTCCTCCACCAACCTCCTTTGAAAATGAACATGTATTTAGTATTCCAAATGCCTTGAAACCCACAGAAGGCATCTTGCAGCAAAAACACAGGCATTTCTAATTTTAAGTGTTTAAAATTTGCTTTCTAAAATTCTGAAAAACAAAATGGCAGTAACAATGTATGTTTTGAAACATTTCAAATTCATACTTATTACTCAGAAGTTCCTTCAATGATATTAACTGGCATTAACTTTGGCTGAGTATTAATTTTACACTGGGCCATTCAGGATCTGACCTGACTTTGTACTAGGTCCCCACTATGCCTTCAGTGATGGATTGGCTCAATGCCTTTCAGGTCCTGTGGAACTCCTGTGAGGCATCAGAGGCAGGAATCAGAAAGTGTAGGTTCCAATCCTGGTTGTGTCAAATGGGATTAACTGTACTTATCCCATACATCTCTGTTCTGAGGATTGGATAATACACCGAGAGTGCTTAAAAGGTGTTCAGTAAATGTAAGGTATCCTCATCATTAATTAAGTAATGTTATTATTTGAACTGCTTCAGCCTGGTTCAGTCAGTCATGGCTGACAAAAGTGACATTGGAACAGACTTAGATTTTTAAGCCTTTCAAGACAGAATTGTTTCCCACTTTGAATTTTTTGTTGAAACTATGTTTTCAGTAATGGAAGGCGTTTTGGATGAAACGAAAAAAAAAAAATCGAGGTAATATGTATTTTAATAGAATTAGTGGGACACCTATATCCCAAAAAAATCTCTCGTGCTGGGGTTGGTAGGATGAAGCCCTTTCTTCAGATTCACGTAGTCACATAGGCATCCACCAGATGGGCAGCACTAAAAGTGCTCTCCAGAAGCAGAAAATGTAGGTGGCACTATATGCCCAACCGGTCAGGAAAGGGTTAAAATGTGGGCGAACCAAAATGCTAACCAGAAAAATTACAGGTCAAAGCCCTGCTAGAAACTTAACCTCCCTCTTAGAAAACAACGTCAGCATGTGCGTTGCATAGCTACCAAATCTCTTGATTGGCTAGCTAGGTCAAAAAATGATTCCTGGCTCAAATATCGCAGCTGACTATGCCATTTTGAATGTGTCCCTCTCCAAAGTCCAGTTAACAATCTAGTATTGCACATCATGCTCCTAAAAGAGCTCACTACACTTCTTAGGAGTCTCCCATTCCACGGCTTCGACCAGTAATTTTTTTCCATTCCAACTAGGGTTGTGTATCACTGAAACTTGGGCCTGTTCTGTTCCGCTTTGTTGGCCATGACAGAACTGGTTTGAACTGGTTGGAAGCCCTATTATTTACTCCAGCATCTCTCTGCCTTCCAAGAATAATGTCATTGTTTTTTGCAGATGTTGTTGTCAGGTGTCATCAAGTCGATTCTGCACATAGTGATCCTATGCACAACAGAACAAAACACTGCCTAGTTCTGCACCATCCTTACAATCTTAGCTATGTTTGAACCCTTTGTTGCAGCTACTATGTCAATCTATCTTGTTGACCAAAAAAACCAAACTCACTGCCGTGGAGTCGATATCGACTCATAGCGACCCCTCAACCCCTCCTTGGGTTTCCGAGGCGGTATCACTAAGGAAGTAGATTGCCCAACCTTCCTTCCGAGGAGTGGCTCACTGTGGGTTTTAACTATCAGCCTTCTGGTTAGCAGTGGAGTGCCTTAGGCACTACACCACCAAAGCTCCTTGTTGAAAGTCTTCCTCTTTTTGGCTCACCCTCTACTTTACCAGCGAAATGTCCTTATCCTGGAGTTGGTCCCTCCTAATCATGTCCCAAGTATATGAACCAAAGTCTCCCCATCCTCACTTCTAGAGAGTATTCTGGCTGTACTTCTTCCAAGGCAGATTTGTTTGTTCTTCTGGCAGTCCATGGTATATTCAATACTCTGGTGGCATAGTGGCTAAGACATCTGACTGCTAACCAGAAGGCTGGCGGTTCAAACCCACCAGCCATTACTTGAAAGGAAGATTGGGCAATCTACTTCCGTAGTGATACTGCCTCGGAAACCCAAGGTGAGGTCGCTTTGAATCGGATTCGACTCGACGACAGTGAGTGTGTTTTTTGTTTAACACCATACTTCAAATGCATGAGTTCTTCGGGCTTCGTTATTCATTGTCCAGCGTTCGCATAAATATGAGACTGAAGATGCCATGGCTTGGGTTTGGCGCACCCTACTCCACTTTGCATTTACCAAACCAAAACCAAACCTCCTTCCATCAAGTCGATTCTGACTCAAAAGCGACCCCCACTGGGTTTCCTAGGCTGTAAATCTTTATGGAAGTAGACCTCCCTGTCTTCCTCGGAGTGGCTGGTGGGTTTGAACCGCCAACCTTCTGGTTAGCAGTCAAATGCCTCAGGCATTGTGCCACCAGAGCTCCTTCACTTTGCATATAGTCCCTAGTATATCATATGCGTTCAACTAATACATTCACGACGCAACTCGTACTTTCCCCAGTCAGTGAGAACTCCTGTCCCGCCCTTCAGAGCCTGGCTCAACCCCTCCACCTCCCTGAAGCCCTCCTGGGCTGACCACCCTACGCTGTGCCCACTGCGACCTGGGCACATCAGGCTCTGGGCCAATGGCCCCGGCCGGCATCGCGCGTCCCGCACCGGCGCCAGGCCTGCACCAGTTCAACAAGCATTCCAAGGTGAAGTGTGCTTTTCCCGCCCCACCCAGGGCAGCGAATCCCGGGCAAAGGCTCACGCCCGGCTCCAGGGACGTAAGGCCCCTTCCGCGCGGTGATTCCAGGTCCCGGCTCCAGAAATCCGTAGGCCCCGCCTGGCGGGACGCAAGACTGCAGAGGCCTCGGGGCGGGTCGGCCGCCTAAGGCCAGGAGAGGACCCAGGCAGAGACCCAGAGGCCGCGCCCAGGCAGCTCTTACTGTTTCACGTTGTCTCCCAGAGCCTCGCTCAAGTTCTTCTTGGCCGCTTCTAGCTCGCTCACAAAGGTCGCCATTGCTCTGCGCGTCTCAGCCCGACCGCAGACTGTCTGGCCACTGGGACCAACAACCAACAAACCAATTCGGCAGAAGGCCTTGGCTCTGGAAGCTAAGTCTGCTCCAGTCTGCACCGCCCCAATCGCTCCGAAGATGTTTGTTAGGTTTTCGGCTCCGCCCGCCTTTCTAGAAAAAAAGTGCCGAGCCAAAGGCTGCGTTTTCTCTGTCCTTCTCCCGCCCCTCCAGTCACGTGATTCGCTTCACCTTGTTCTGGGGCGCCTAACCTAAACTCATCCTCTTTGCTCCGCCTGCCCTATTTCCCAGGCTGGTGCTTCACAGCTCTTTGCTTTCCCTTACAGGAAAATTCTGAATTCTACCTGTTGTCCTTCTACCTAAATGAATGCTTTCCCTCTTCAGCTCATAAAATAGGTAAGCCTTCCAGTAAATTTCTGACTCATTGCGACAGGATGTGTTACAGATTACAACTTCTCCATAGGGTTTTTGACGCTGGAATTCTTAGGTAAGCAGATCGCCACGCCTTTCTTCTGTGGAGCCTCTGGATGGGTTCTAACCACCAGCCTTTAGTTTAGCAGAGGATCAAAAACCACTTGCACCACTCAGGCTCCTTCATAAAGCAGATACAGTTATCAATATATATTTCCTTTCCTTGGGATTAAATTCCCACACCGACCAAAGCAGTCTTGCTTTTTTCCAGCCTCAATTAAATATGCATTTAAGTGCTTTATCTTAATTTTTTGCCTCTAATGACTAAAATAGAAGTTCTGTGAGGACAGAGATTTGTATTTTGTTCACTGTTGTATACAGTATTAAGTTTCTAAAGCACATAGTAGGCACTCCACAAATATTTCTGTGTACATTATTCAATTATGAAAAATTTGGAAAGTGCACAGAAGGAGAAAGACAAAAGAAAAAGTATCTTGTCACCCCCAACAAACACTGTTTACTGGGAGATTACCCTTATCAATAAATTATAATAGTTTTGTGTTCAATTTAGTATCTTCTTTTTTACATTTAATATATTAATATAAGCATTTCACTGTGATATTATATTATCTTGGCACCTAGGTAGCACAAACAATTTGTACTCGACTACCCTGAGTGTGTGCTACTAACCTGAAGGTTGGCAGTTCCCAACCACTTAGCTGGGTACTGTGCAAAGGTGGAGTGACCTGCAGCCCTAAAGATTTCTGGCCAAGGAAACCCTATGGAGCAGTTCTGCTCTGTAACACATGGTGCTATTCTTAGTTGAAATCTATAGCAATGGGTTTGTTTTTTGGTTTTATTACATTATCTTTACAATAATAATTTTAATATATTTAAATACCCCACACGGAGAATATATACAATAATTTGTTTTCTAGCTGTTAGACTGAAGATTGTTTGCATTTTAATTGGAGATTAAAAGCAATGCTATAATAAACTTCTTTATGCATAAAGCTTTTTCACATTCAGTGGGCTAAATTCAAAACAAAAAAAGTTGCCATAGAGTATATTCTTAATGGTGACCCCATGTGTTGCCGAGTAAACTGTGTTCCATGAATTTTAAAGGCTGTGAACTTTCAGAAATAGAGTAGCTTCACTGGTTTTTCTTCTCAGGTACCTTTAGGTGGGTTTGAACCACCAACCTTTTGCTTAGTCGTTGATTGCTGAACCATTTATGCCACCCAGTGATTCTTAGTGGGTTGGATGGTGGCCCTCCAAAACATATGTCCAAATCCTTACTTCTGGAATCTATGAATATGACCTTATTTAGAAATAGGGTTTTTGTATATGTCATTAAATTAAGGATCTCAATATGACATCACCCTGTATTACTTGGATGGGCCCTAAATCCCACAGTTGGGATGTAGCGGGGAATGAGACAACAGAGAAGAAAATACACAGAGACACACAGAGGAGAAACACAGGGAGAAGGCCATGTAAAGACAAAGACAAAGGTTGGAGTCATGCTGCCACAAACCCAGGAGCACCTGGAGCCAACAGAAGCTGGAAGAAGAAAGGAAGAATTCTGTCCGCAAGCCTTCAGAGTGGGTGTGGTCCTGCTAACACCTTGACTTCAGACTTCTGGCCTTCAGAACTGTGAGAGAATAAATTTCTGTTGTTTTAAATCAACAAGTTGATGCTAATTTGTTATAGTGGCCGCTGGAAACTAATAAACACATAGAGGATTATTACTTTAGGATTATCCACTGCCATCAAGTCAATTTCAACTCATAGTGACCCTATTGGACAGAGTAGAACTGCCCCCTAGGGTTCTCAAGGCCATAATCTTTATGGAAGCAGACTGTCTCTTCCTCCCACAGTGCGGCTGGTGGGTTCAAACCACCAACCTTTCAGTTAGTAGCTGAGTGCTTAACCACTGCACTACCATAACACCTTCTTACTTTAGGACCAAAAAAAAAAACAACCCAAACTCACTGCCATTGAGTCAGTCCCGACTCATAGTGACCCCTCTTTGGGTTTCCAAGGCAGTATCTCTGCAGAAGTAGATTACCCAGTGTTCCTTCCTTCTGGTTGAATTACTGAATCAAATGCTAGAAATATTTATGATTCTTGATGCGTATTGTCAAATTGCCTCAAAGACTTAAAATAAGCATAAATGACTTTTAAATCATGTGCATTTTCTCCACAGAAGCAGCCTCAAGTTTATTCATTTATTCAACAAATATACAGTGAGCTCTTATTATGTTCCTGACACTGTTTTAGGTACTGGAGCTATAAAAATGAACAAGACAGGGAAAGTCTTCTTTTTGTGTCATAAAACTCCAAGAGGAATTTTGAATTTCTGTCTGTTTGTTTAAGTAGTCATCTATTTAAGCTTTCCATGGCTCCCCAATGACTACTGAATTAACCCCAGTCTCTTGCCTGGTATTCAAATTTTCTCATGACCTGGACTCAACCTACATCACACACACACACACACACACACACACGCAGCCCTACCCCTCTATTCCCCCACTCACACTCTGCACTCTAGTCACCTGACTTTCTATAACACACCACATCACTGAGTATCTCTGCATATGTTCTCCCCTCTGATATTTTTGAGACTTATGGGTATCTACTTCCATGTTTTTCAACCAAGTTCAAACCTATATATGAACCTATTAAGGAGTCAATTCAACGGGACTAGGAAAGGACACAGATATTTGGATGTATCTCCCACAAACTGTCCCAGACTTCCTCTCTCTATATGTTGTGGTTGTGTGCCCTCAAGTCGGTTTCAATTCATACTGACTCCATGTGACAGAGTAGAACTTCCCCACAGGGTTTCCTAGGCTCTCATCTCTACGGGAGCAGATCTCCAGGTCTTTCTCCTTTGGTGCAGCAGGGTGGGTTCCAACTGCCAACCTTTCCACTAGTAACCAAGTGCTTAACCGTTGTGCCACCAGGGCTCTTTTCTTTCTAAGAAAGATATTCCTCAAAAATTGTCTTTTGATCATGTTTGACAACATGCCTCCATACATTCAAAACCCAAAAAAAACAAACTCACTACCATTGAGTCGATCCGACTCTTAGCGACCCCTCCTTGGGTTTTCAAGGCGGTATCTCTATGGAAGTAGATTGCCCGATCTTCCTTCTGAGGAGTGGCTGGTGGGTCTGGTTAGCAGTCAAATGCTTTAGGCACTATGCCACCAGAGCGCCCTCCATACACCCAGCACCATTAAATATTCCTTTCTCTCCTCAGCACTTTGTACGCCTACTGGCATTCATTTTAGTGTGGTTGTTTCATTGAATGTCCATTTAAACAGTAAAGTGTTAGACAAACGTGATGTACATGTATGGACGTCTGACCGATGTACTTCATGGAAATGAATGCCAAAATCACTTGTAATTTGGTAGTTTACTTTGTTGTTGTTGTTATGTGCCGTCAAGTCAGCCCTGACTCATAGCGACCCCTCCTTGGGTTTCCGAGGCAGTATCACTACAGAGGTAAATTGCCCCATCTTTCTTCCCAAGAGTGGCTGGTGGGTTTGAACCGCCAGTCTTCTGGTTAGCAGTCAAGTGCCTTAGGCACTATGCCACCAGAGCTCCTTCTACTACCTTAATGTTTACAAATATCCCTTAGAGTGGATGGATGGAGATTATAGATGTAGGTATATATTTAGGGATTCTGTGTTTATTACTCTGTCATTCCTCCAGATGCAATACTTAGGTTCTTTAGAACTATGGATTCTCTTCACACTGGTTAGTACCTGCAGTGAATTGCTTGATGTGGCCCTTCTAGCCATTGTCCTCCATTCTGTGATGTTTTGTAAATCCCATTATCCATGCCTGTTTGGGGTGCTGTGGTAGTTAAGGTCAGGTATCAACTTGGCTGGCAGCTGGTAGTAGTCATTCCCTATAATGACTGGCAGTCGACTCTGTGATGGGATTTAGGTTAATTCTGTTGGGACAACACAGGTGGAATGTATCTTGAGTCCTGCCTTGCTGGAGGGTATAATTCAAATCACCACCCTTAGCTTCCCTGAGGGTATACCTACGAATCTCCTGGGAAGATTGGCTCTCCTCTTGCTCCGGCTTTGTGTCTTGGATCATCCTCATCTCACCCCTGGATTTGGGACAGCAGCTGTCATCTGATCTGCTGATCGAGGTTCATCAAACCTTGAGAGTTGGGAGGATCCACCAGACCTACTCACGGACCCGGGACTCGCCAGCCTGCCAGCCTCCACCACTACTACGTGAGACGAACCCTTGGGTGTCTGTGAGTTCTGTGAGGCATTACAGCGAAATACCCTAAGACTGGGGAAATTATTGGGAGGAGGAGGAGGAGTTAATGTCTGAAATGATGGAGTGGCATGGTAGTTTGGACATTGGGGACATCTTTGACCTCCGCCTCATGGGGACTGGCCTAGTGCTGATCTTTCCAAGAGAAATTGTTCAAGCAGTACCTCAAACTCACCAGACCAAACTCACTGTCACTGAGGTGATTCCTACCCATAGCGACTCCCACTGGGTTTCCAAGGCTGTAAATCTTTATGGAAGCCTCATCTTTCTT